GTTAACTTGGAATAATAGGTAAGATGATAAATCTTATTGGAGTAGCATATATGCAATTAGCAAGCATAGGTGAACTTTTCTGCCATACAGTACAGGGCTTCCTCTGTTAGAAATAAGAAACTCTGTGAGAAGGCACAGTGGCTGTAATAAGAGACTGCATTTTAGAAATTGTGTTTTGTGCTTCTTAACTGTGATTCCACATTAATCTTTCCTTTCCCTCTAAATTGAAAAACCAAAACCTAAAAGCCTTTTGACATTGTTAAAGTGGTCCAATAAATTCTCAGCCTTCTAATAATCTTCGTTGTCTTTTTCTGTACCTCCTTAAGTTTAATATTTTTTTGAGGTGCATTGATTATATCTATACACAGAATTCTAAATGTGGCCAATTTACAGCCTGATATAATGGCCTTACGCCAATAGCATTATGTTAATTGCTGTGCTCAGTCTCATGTGATAGGATTTGGCTTTTTCTACATAAGTGTGGAGCTGAGCTGACTTTTTCAGCCCAGTGTTTCCTATGTAAATTCTTAATCAAACCTGCCAAAGTTTATCTGTTTGAAGAATAAAATTCAGTAACTTTTCTAAATAAAAAGTTACTAGTCAGTAAAACTAGCATATTTTGATTTTCAGCAGGTTTTACCTCATTGCTTTCAAGCTCTGGGCTTTCACTGATTTTTGGCCAGACACCTTTGAAACTGTTAAATTGCTTCATCCTGAGTGACTAGGTATTTACTGTATTTCTTGGATCTAGTAACAGAGGCGAACTGAAGGCTTGCCTTATGCAGAGTTAGACCAGTGGTTCATCTAGTTCAGTATTGTCAACACTGAATGATAGCAGCTCCTGAGAGTTTCAGACAGAAATATTTCTCAGCCCTCCTTTGACTTACCAAGGATTGAACTGGGACTTTTTGTACCAAAAGCATTTGCTGCACCACTCAGCTGCAACTCTTTCCTTAACTGTTAAGTAGTGCCCATGATAGTTCTCTCCTATGAATATGTTGGATGCAAGCATGCAGCAAAATGTACACCTGTGTGATGGTTACATGACAACCTATGTGTAGGGTTTGTATATAGTAGTGCATTCCATATAGAGGCTCTCACCTGCATCTTTTTCTGTATCTAACCTATGCTAACTTCTAGCTCTCCTGTTTCTCTTGTTCAACTTAGTTTTATCTTATTTGTGAACTGTCCATTCCTGAAACCAATGTTCAAGTCTGACTATAGCATATGGTTTTATACAGCTACAGCAGAGCTTTCCAGACTTTTCATGTTGGTGACACACTTTTAGGCATGCATCATTTTGCGACACAGTAATTCAGTTTTACTAGCAAACCGGAGGTTAAACTAACCACTTTCCAGCCCCGGAAGGAGCGTGGGGAGTGTTTGTGTGACACACCTACACACTGCAGCCAACACACTAATGTGCCGCGATACAGTTTGGAAAGCTCTGACCTACAGTAATACTGTGATCATAATACTGTGTACATTTATGTACTCTTTTGTTAATGATGCTACAATTTTAGAAAAAGTGGTTGGAAACAGTGAAGCCTGACCAGCTTCCTTTTTTGAACTGATCCTTTCTTCATGTTGGAGTGCTTAATTTCCTTCTCAGTATTAACTCCTGACAAGGTCTTAACTTCATTGGATTAACTTGGGAAGCGTGCAGTTTTCTTTATTTGATATCTGAACCTTCTAGGGCACTCTTCCCTCATGTTCTCAAGCTTATTTTTCCAACCACTAAAACCAAACTTTGGGATGGGGTGGGGGGGAGCAGGAAAGACTACACAAAAAGCACCTCTGCATAGGAAGTATGAAATCCACATAGACTGTCATATGATTACATATTTGTCTCTGGCTGCACATAAATGTAGAACTTGCAACAGGGTGATGAACATATTTATAGAGAAGTACACTCACAAGCAGGACTCATCAGCTGGGGCTGTGGTCTTGCTAGTTTCAAGAAATAAATCCCTAGTCACTCAGGATGCAATATTTTAAATGGTTTCTAGCCTTGTGTGGTTCGTGTATCAGTAAAACTACAGTACTTGATATTTTCTAGACTCCTGGGCAGCACAGAAGTACTCATAGACAGTGTGTGGACCCCATACCCATTCTCTGTGGTATAGATACAGCAATATGATGCTTCAGAGTTACAAAATAGAACTGTACGTCTGGGTGGTAAGTTTTTTAGATTGGAGTTCATCTTCTGTGGAGAAGGGCCATTGTAGAGTATCTGCTTTGCATGCAAAAGGTCCTAGGTCCAGCCCCTGCATCTCTAAGTAGAGTTGAGAGGGTTTCCACCTTAAATTCTGGGGAGCTGTGCATTTAATGACGGCACATATATTTTGCGTAGTTACACTTCATGCAAATGTGTTCATGCTGTGACTGCTGAGTTAATGAAGTTTGTAATAGAAGATGTTTGCTGTATAAAAAGCAGTTACTTAACAGGGTGCCAAAAATAGTATCTGGGGAGTAAACTGAGGAAAGTCTTGCTAAAGTGTCCAGTTTCATTTAGAAGAGACTTATAGACTCACCAGGACTAATATATGGGCCTGCATTATGTCCATTATTATGTCCATGGATGTTAAAAGGATGCAAGCTGTAGTAATGAATAGGTATAAGCTGTGGTTGACTTCTGCAGATTGGAGCCCTAAAAATCTGCAGAATTTCTAGGTGATAACAAGAGTTTGGGGCATCGACCAAGGAGACCTGAGTTCACATTCCTGTTGATCCGTAATGCTCACTGGATGACCCAGACTAATATTGTTTCATCCACTTACCTTGCAAGGTGGTTGTGCATGAGATAGCTCCCATTTAGCTGCTTTGAGATTCTCTGGGAAGAAGAAGATACAAATTCAAAAAGGAAAGTACAATAAAGTATTTCCAAATTTTCTGTTTTGGATCTAGTTAATTTACTTACATGTGATGGCAAGAAGCTCAGCAATTGGTTATTTCATTCTAAAGCACTTTCAGATTGCTTCTGATACATTTTATGCAGGACACTCCTAACTCTTATGCCAGTGGTTTTCAACCAGTGTGCCGCTGGCTTCACATTCACCTTTGGCAAGTCTCCATTGGGGCACTAAGGCTGGGAGCATCCTTTTCACAGACCCCTGTGGGGCAGTGTGGGGAGGCACCTCTCTTTGGGGTGGGTCGGGGACAGCTCAGAGACCAGGGGCGGTGACAGCGGCTGCCCGGAGGACTCCCAAGGAGCGGGTAGGGAAGGCTGAGGGGACGCTCCACAAGGGAGGGTATTCGAAAAAGGATGAGAGGCTGCCAGCTCTGCAGACAGTGGTGCTGCAGAAAGAATTTAGTTGGTCAAGGGAGCCATGGACTCAAAAAGACTGAAAACCTCTGTCTTCTGCTGTCAGTGTAACTCCACTGAAATTCAGTAAGAATTTCTAAGTGTGTTTGCTGACATCTACAACCCATTCTCTAGATTAGAATCTGGTGGTATTTGCCCACTGAGGGACAAGAAGGGCAAATTAGAAGACAGGATATTCAGATATCATTTGTGTTGTTAATTACAAATCTTGAACTGCATTATGATAAGCAAAACTATTTCAGTTTGTTCCAAACAAATTATGAACTTTGTTAAACACTTGGACAAATCAGTCTTTTGCATGTATAGAGAATCCCAACTATAGTTTCTCAACATAGTACCTAAGGTTACTTTTAGCACACCAGTTCATGTTAAATTCTAAATAGTATCTGCTTCTGGGCACCAAGATAATTGTGCTATTATCTTGTAGTTCCCAGATGCTTGTGTTTGTATTTGTACCTATTGTTGTAGAAGTCACTATTCCTTGTGCTCCATTTTTTTCTGCAACCAGTAGTGGCAGCTTGCAATAAAGAGCTTTTTGAGTTAGTTTTTCATCTTGCCATATCGATGGGATCCACTGGAAATTGAGCAAGTGTTACAGGAAAAAACATTGAGGTTGTTTGGGATAATCATACTGATAATATCAGTGCTTTTCTGAATCAATTCAAGAATTGTTTGCTTCAGTACTGCAAATGGTGCACTTAGATGAACACTATTTACATGGGCTGGCATTGATGGTGGTTCTTTATGTGTTTGAGGGACCCCTGGCACTTCAGTGAATAAAATGTAAAATTTCTCTAACTCTGCCTGAGCAATGTTTGCCAAAGAATCAAATGCAGGGAACCTTCTTTCTGAAGGTCAGATTGCCTCCAAGATAATGTTGGTACATGGGGTACATGCTGGTAGTGGGTGGGGCAAGAGACAGGGTACCCCCTTTCTTCCTTTCACACAATTTTTCTCGTGTTTTTCCTTCCCTTTCCATCTATATTATATTAAACCAAAGGCTGCAGATTTGACTGCTATTGATTTAGTTGATCACTGAACAGACTGCTGCAGGCCAGTTACTATCACAGTAATTATACTGGAGAGCTTGCATACACCTCCACATACCGTTGTGATTTCTAAGATATAGAATATACTCATGTGTTATAAATCCAAGGACATGTTGAGGTTTTTCTTGATGCCAGCCCTCGGCTGTGGAATTTCATTCCCCTCAATTGAATACTGCTTGGCTATTGGTTCATTTTTAAGTGTGGTAAATGTCTTCACCACATATTGAGGGTTGGGGGGAGGGCTACAAACCCCAAAGCGTATAAGAATGCTTTCTGTGAATCATGTAAGAACAAAGATTTGAAGAAATTTTCACTTTGGCTGTTTACTTGGAGGACTTCATCGCGCTGTTATACAACAAAGGGTTGTAAAATAATTTGAGATGTTTGCTTAAATGACAGTGGGAAACTAAAGGGTTAGATGCCACTCTTTTTCACAATTCACTGAGAGTGGAAAACTTTGTGGGTTAATACCTCTTGAAAACTAAGTTGGAGGCTGTGAAATATTTTAAGCAAAAGCAATGGAAAAAAACAAGCTTATAAACTGCTTTTTGATTCAGGGTGAATTAATTGGTTATGCTCCAGTGTAGACTTAAATAGTAATTCATTCATCTTTTTTTCTTTTCCAGATCTTCAAGTATCTTCATTTTAGTTTTCTGTGCTATTCCTCCCTTAAGTTATTATATACTTCTTTGCTGCTGTGCGAAAACAGAGATGTCTCGCAGCCCAGATGCGAAGGAAGACCCTGTGGAATGCCCCCTATGTATGGAGCCTCTTGAAATTGATGACATAAACTTCTTTCCTTGCACCTGTGGTTACCAGATCTGTCGCTTCTGTTGGCATCGTATTCGCACTGATGAGAATGGGCTTTGCCCTGCTTGCAGAAAGGTATATTAAGTTCATTAGAATAAATTTGGTTATGTAATAAGGTTCACCAACATGAAATGTTGCTTTAAACATGATGCATCTTGTCCCCTAAGACTTTATCTTGGGGTTCACTGTCAAACCAGGGAGGAATATGGAGTCCCTTTAAGTGAAATATTGATCTTTGTTTGACTTTTGAGTTCTATACTTTCCGCAAAGTATTCTCCTGAACTCATGAATTGTCAGAAGTCAAGTATCACTGTAAACATCGGTTTAGTGGTACATATATCATAGGGCAATACAGTATCCTCCACTTCTTCCAGCCACAGCTGTTTCCAGTCGTCTCCTCTGAAATCTGCAACAAGTGTCTTGGTTGGCAGGGCAAGTGGGAATAGGGTGGTCAGACAGATGGAAAGACTTTCCTCCCATCATAGGACCTATTATCAGAGCAACAGGCAAAAAGTGAAGCAGGTTTCTGTGTAAGATACCCAGATAAGTAAGATACATTGTCACTGTTCAAGGACACATTCTAGCCAAGCAAAAGAGCTGGAGGAGAATATGGAGTAGGGCCAGTGAAGGGTGTCTAAGTCCTGATGGCCAGATTAGAGAAGCCTGGAAGGCAGCACTTGGCCTCTGGGCCTGAGGCTTCTCACCTATGGTTTTCTTGATATGGTCAAGGGATCAGGGACTTTTATCCTTCGATGGAGCACATGGGATGGGCATCTGGCAACATAGCTGGGGCACTTTAAATGTTGTTTGCTCATGAAAAAGCAATTCCCACACTACTTGTGCTAGTATACTTGTGGTATCCAGTTAAGTGGTGCTTAGTGTACATCTATTGAAATAAACTAAAGTTCATTTATTTCAGTGGGTCTAAGTAAGACTTAGCCAGGTGCCACCCTAAAACTGTTTTCAGTTTAACTTCTTTAAATGAACAGATGTGTTTTGGTTATTGCATCATCTCTATCTTTTTTCTAAATTTGCACCTTTTCTGTAATGTGGTGAGGTGTTTGAAATCTGTAGATGCTCATTAAGTACTTCACTAGGACATTTGTTTTGAATGCTTCTGATGACCCAGCTGTTGAACTCATTGACCTGCTAAAGTGGGTCACATTTCATGTGCCAGTGGTGGTTAAAGGGAGGCATGTGTAAAAAACTGAATGTTGCATTGCATCCCTTTAAGCTTTTGATTTTTTAAAAAATATTTTTTTTTAAAAAAAAGGTATTAATCAGCATGGTATTGTCATATATTGTGTTTTTGTGACAAGTTACTGTTAGTGTTTTATCATGACACTCGTACTCGTATAATATCAACCATTATATTTTCAGATGCCTGCTTTGAAACAAGTTTACATCTAATCACTATGTTTTCTGTATTCTATAGAAATGCACCAAGCTTCTCACAATGAGAAGACAGGTAATGGCAGCCTATCTACCATTACCTTTATCTGCTGCTGTGCAATTCAAGGGAGGAAATGTCACCCATCTTTGCAAAGGATGATACCAAAGTTTAAGAAGCCTCACTGGCAGAAAGTGCTCACCTATTCCTTGGTGGGCTCAGATTTATTTGAAGTCATTGCTTGTTTCTATATCATTCATATAGCATCTATTGCAGTGGGCTTGAGGTTTGCAGGAAACAGTGATGTGGAAATTATTAATCAAGGCTTACCCACTTTTCTTTTTATCAGCCATATCCAGAAGATCCAGCAGTGTATAAACCACTCTCCCAAGAAGAGCTGCAAAGGATAAAAAATGAAAAGAAACAGAAGCAAAATGAAAGAAAACAGAAGATATCAGAGAATCGTAAACATCTGGCCAGTGTACGGGTTGTACAGAAGAATCTTGTATTCGTAGTAGGGTTATCCCAACGCCTAGCAGATCCAGAGGTAAGCAGCTGCAAGAAGTCTGAACTTCCTGTAGAATAACTGTATCCTGAACTTTTGCTGCAGTTATTATAGTTGCCAAATAAATTCCTACTCAAGTTAGTTGATTCTTCTGGGCTTTTCAGTGGTGTTCAGTACCACTCAACCCAGGGCTGAGGACCCATAAAATGATGCCGGTTGAATTCTGTTATATCCCATGGTCTGGGAATCCTGGTTGAAAAGTCATCAGTATGCTGATGATACTCGGCACACACACTCTTTTTCATGAGACCCTAGGGAGACAGTGGACACTGAAGTTGTCTAGAGGGAGCAGTGTGTCATTGAATATGCAATAACAATCCTAATAAGATAGAAATATTGTTGATTGTGAGAACCAGTGGATCTGGAGTTAGTTGTACAGCCTGCCTTGGATGGGGCTGCATTTGCTCTGAAAAGGGAGGCTCCCAGTTTGATGTTTTCTTTGATCTGGAACAGCTTCTGGATGCTGGGCTGGGACCACTTTTGCTGATATCCTAAGCTGCACTAACTTGCAGAAGACAATTCTGGCCATAGTAATTCATTCTGAAGCCTGCTAAAGCAACAACTTTGATAGTATGACTTTACATGGGGCTGCTCTTAAAAGCTTTCAGAAATTTTGGTTGGTGAGAACACTATGACCAGACTATCTTAAACTGGTCAGTGAGACATATTACTATGTTGGTGCTCAATCTGCAGGAGTGCTATCAGGATTTTCTGGGCCTGGTACACTGTATTGGGACCTCTGATCTACTCACAAAAGAGGACATTTACATATTCAAATCTTTGTGCCCTTTTGCTGATAGCTATGCAATGAATTGTTAATTAATGCTTGCACCATAGATCCTGCGCAGCAGGAGACATGCCCAATTCCTCCAAATTTTGAATTCACCATGGTTTTCTTTAACATTCACCTACACTTACTGTGTAGTAGTATTTCAGAAAATAACTTCTGGGGACTACGTGATCTCAGACAAACCCACCATAGGAAAGATGCATTCTGGTTGATAAGAAAAAAGCGTATACTACAGAGGTTCCAAGTGCTACCAAATGAGATCGAATCAGGAAAAGTGCCCCAAAGGGGAGGGGGAAACAGAAGCTCTTTATGAATTTCTTTCTCTTGATGCTCACAAAGCGCACTCTTCAACCACAGTTCTGTCTTTATTCATTGGCTAAAAAACACTTGAACGCAGGAGCAGACAGCCTAGCACATTGCTTAGTAGGGTACCTGAACATCTTGCTTTATAAGTTTATTTCTAGGAGGGCTAGATTTTTTAAATGAAAGCTCATAGTCTGGGGTCCCTGCTGGCAGTGGGCCTGTTAAATTGGTACCCACTTGGCATACTTTTCAATCTCCACTTGGAATTTTATGTGATTTATGGGCTGCAGGCTGTTAGAAGAACTCATTATAATACAGTGTTGTTAGAATTCGGGAGAGAGAATTGAAGTTATCTGCCACTAATTGTAGGAAATATGGTATGTGCTCAGTACCAGTTACGTGCCTGGGTGGAGACTCCCACGCTGCTCCAGTTGACAGCCTGAGACCAATGTTTTGTATAGTTCATTTGTAACTGCTTAGCAATTTTCCATTGCTTTCTTTGGTTAAAAGATTTTACAAAGGGAGCAAAAATAGTTAGGCATCTATTAGTAGTCGTGAGTTTTGTCTGAGCTGCTTCTTAATATTGCTTTTTTATCGGTAAACTTAATCTCCCAAACAGGTTTTGAAAAGGCCAGAATATTTTGGGAAATTTGGTAAAATACACAAGGTTGTAATCAACAACAGCACATCATATGCAGGCTCACAGGTAAGATACTGATTTCTCCTTGACTTAGGCAAAAGGTGGGTGTTCAGCTGGAGTTCCAACAGTTTCAGTTGCATATGGACAACTCATTTTTTACATACTTGGGTCAAAAACATTCCATACTGGAACATTTCGGCAGCTCTGTTTTTGTCTGCATGTACTAATAACCAGAGCCAGATTAATTCTACAACGTAGAATGCCCAGCAGTAAGGTGTAAACTGCCCCTGAATTTCTACAATTAGAATGTAATTTCAGTTAAGTGTAGCCTATGAATGTATTCCCCTGCAAACATGTGTCCAGATCTTTTCATTTGTACTGTCTGGAATGTAGCCTCCTTATTATTGCCTCTTTGTACACCCCTGTTCAGGAATGTAGTTGCATTCTAACTTGGAGCACCCCATGATTTACTATAGCTGTTTTGCTGGTGCAGAAGCTGATATACTCGAAATATGTTATAGTTTTTTTACTAAATAGAAAGATTGTATTGACTTCTGGGTGTGCATTGTACCTTGGTGAAGATTTTTAATTATACCCTAATCTGGTTGATATGCTATTGTCGTACTAATGAAAAAAGTAATTCCTATTTCAAAGTATATGTTACTTTTTCATTCAAGTTTGTTAGTAGGAAAGGGATATGTTACTTGGAATACTTAAGTTTTTAGAAGTTGGCTTCAAAATGGGTAGAGGAGCAAAGAGCAGGCAAAAAGTTAACATAATTGTAAAGAAAGAAGGGAATCCAAATGCATGGTAAGGATTTTGGAGTAAAGCTGTTGTAGCCTTGTTGCTATGAATATCAGTGTACAGAGTTGGGAAACCATCAATTCAAACCTAACTTCAGGAAGCCCAACCTTGTATGGCATATAGTTGCTTCATTCTACAGATTTTACTCATATGTTCTGAAGAAACGAACATAGTTTCCTCACTCTGAAGCAAGGAACATAGTTGTTGTTTTTTTAAATTTAGGTTTTGCATTCCTGTTGTAGCAGACATTGCCTTAGAAGTATTCCTTTGTGTTTGTTTTATGGATAGGAGTGCCTCTTAAAATGGTGCTTGCCAGGTGGAGTATTTAGAAGTACTTCTATGACAAAATGTGTTTTAAATTTGCTGTCCGATTAGTCCCAGGCACTTCTGTAATCTGTTTAAACTGATTATTCAAATATTGCAGTAAAAATTACTACTGTAAAATGAATCCTTTGCCGAGGGCTTCTTATGTATTAAGTACTTCAGAATTTTGTGAAGTTCAGTGCTGCATTATAGGATGACTAATAAACTGACCTATGCACATACACTTTTTTTAATTATCTAGGGTCCAAGTGCAAGTGCATATGTAACTTACATCCGGTCAGAAGATGCACTCAGAGCCATACAGTGTGTCAATAATGTGGTAGTAGATGGAAGAACACTTAAGGTAATATGAATGTGTGTATGTAACTATAACTATGAATGTATGTGTTTGTAACTATATAAGAATAAGGGTGTGTGTGTGTGTGTGTGTGTGTGTGTGCGTGCATGTGTGTGTGTGTGTGTCACGTAATGGCAAATATCTATCAGTACATGTAACTGAGCACCATGATACCAGAAGCTGGATTCTAAAACAGGCTTACTTCTAAAGTATATAGTTTGTTGTCCTTTATAGTTAATGTCTCGTTTCCCCCCCAGGCGTCTTTAGGTACCACAAAATATTGCAGTTACTTTTTGAAGAATATGCAGTGTCCTAAACCAGACTGTATGTATCTACATGAATTAGGGGATGAAGCAGCCAGTTTTACAAAAGAAGAGATGCAGGTATGTGTGTTGCAACCTATACCATGAAATATTACTCTAAATGCCTCATATTTCTGATCTGAGCCAGTAAATCAGAATTGAAACTACAGTTTCGATTTCAGAATGTGGTTTAGAGAAACCACGATCGAAGTATTTAAGCCAACACCATGAAGTTGGCTTAAGTATTTAAGCATACATGCATCATTTTATCTGTATGCCACCTTTCCATAGTTAAAACAATGCTCAAGGGGGCTTCCAACGTAAAAACAATTACATAGTTACAAATATAACAAAAGTAGTCATAAACAGTAAATAAAACATACCAGGAAGTGCACAACCAAATAAAACAATTTCCACCTTAAATCATAATAAGCTCTAAAAATAAAGATACAGAAATTAATATCAACAAGAGCAGCAGCAACAACAACAACACCACACACACACACACACACACACACACACACACACACACACCATTCTGCAACCTAAGGGTCTGTTCAGCAGCTTCAGCTTTTGTAACTGGAGTCAGTCAGGGCCCCAACTTCCCAGGCCAGGTGGAAAAGGCCTGCAGTGCAGGAAGCAGGTCTTCCAGGTCTCACAGCCAAGATGGTCCCTGCTTGACCAGGGCAGCCTGACAGTTGTTCAGCCAGGATATTTATGTCTGGCTTGACTGTTTTCTCTGCTCCTTCTTTTTGAAATGGAGATAATGCCCAGGGCTGGAGTGAGAGGAAATATAAAGACTTTGAAGCATTCTTGCTGCAGATTTGAAGTTCTATAAACTGAGCTGAGAATAAAAGGTAGCAGTTATGTATTATATGGGATGCAGGTGGCGCTGTGGGTTGAACCACAGAGCCTAGGACTTGCCGATCAGAAGGTTGGCGGTTCGAATCCCTGCGATGGGGTGAGCTCCCATCTCGGTCCCTGCTCCTGCCAACCTAGCAGTTCGAAAGCATGTCAAAGTGCAAGTAGTTAAATAGGTACCGCTCCGGCAGGCAGGTAAATGGCATTTCCGTGTGCTGCTCTGGTTTGCCAGAAGCGGCTTAGTCATGCTGGCCACATGACCCGGAAGCTGTACGCCGGCTCCCTTGGCCAATAAAGCGAGATGAGTGCCACAGCCCCAGAGTTGGTCACGACTGGACCTAATGGTCAGGGGTCCCTTTACCTATGTATTTTATAAATATAATATAATAGTAAATCTCCTACATGATCATCTAAAGGCAATGGATAATAAAAGCAAAAAATTAAAAACAAAAAACCCTACATTTAAAAGAAAACTGAAAGCAGTACAAATTAGAAACTCATCGCAGTGATTCATTTATCCATCTGGATAAATGAACAAAAATGTCTGCAATAGTTATCTAAAGTGCAGATAGTGGGTGCTTGTTGTACCTCAACAGGAATGCTATTCTGCAGAACAAGGGCCAGAACTCTGAACTCAGATCAACCCCAATAAGTATGGGCAGTGGTCAGGGATGATGGGAAATGTGGCCCCCAAGTTACCTCTCCTTCCTTTAACTTATCACTCTGCACCTTCTGAGCACGTTACCCAAGAAACTGAAATGGGCATTGTTGGGGTACACCTATGAAATGTAATCATTACTTTCAATTGTTCTGAGGTTACCTTTCAGTGAAATTAGAAAGGTCTTAACCAGCTTGCAGTAAACTCCCTTACGCAGCAATGAATTTACATTTTTACAAAGGAGGCCAAAATAGTTGTCATAGTCTTGTGATTTGGTGGGACGTGGACTAGGCTAGCTTAAAATAACCAAGCTTCTCTTATTTGAACATGATAAATGAAATTTTGATGTAAAGAAGATTTCTCTGCAAATTACCAGGTTGACAGAGTTGCATTATTTTATAACTTTTTTCTACCCCAGGCTGGTAAGCATCAAGAATATGAACAGAAGTTACTCCAGGAATTATACAAGTTAAACCCCAACTTCCTCCAGCTGTCTTCAAATGCAGTTGACAAGAACAAGAACAAAGTGACTTCACTACAGAGGTATGATGTGTAAGTAAAGGTTCTCTGCATGTGCTCTTTAGTTCTCATCAAACCTCCCCCTTTACCCCTCTTTCTAAGCACTCTGCATCACTGCCTTACTGCTTAAGCCAGCACACTTGACATCTTACTTCCTTTGCATCATTATACAGATGTATGCAGCATTTTCAAACAACTGTTTCAGCAGATGTTCGCATTAGTGCATCATTTACAATTGTAAAATAGTATGGTTTGGTGTGAAATAGCAGGGCATGTCATTAAACTGGAAATACAAAATACAAGATTTACTCATTTTAAATACAACACAACATTACTATGAATGTGTGAGTCCACCTTGCCTTTAGAAGGTGAGAATGCCACAAAGGACTCATCTGAAAGACAAAGTTAGTGTAAAATGTTCTGACTCATTGCAACTTAGTTGAGATTTTTGTTTCAATACGTTGGCTGCTAATATGTAGGGTGCAGACTTTGACAGAGTAACATAGATTTATATGTCTGTTTAATGAAAGGTTGCTGAGGGTTTTTTGACCTAGCACCTATCTATTCCAAGTAACAATTTTAAGTGGTTGTCTATTTCTGTAAAAGCTTACATTACTTAATAGCAGAAACACCATTAATATTTAGAATATGACATAAGGTTTGTGCTTGCAAGATACTTCTTGAGTTTGAATGGTAGTCAGACTGCTATTACCTCTGGTTTAGCCTCTTCAACTATTAATAAGGGAAACCTAAATGAATGGGAAAATCTATTTGTGAACACCTGAACTTTGTGATCATGGCAAATGATTGGTGAACAAGAATTTGCACTCTCTTTAGATCCTTCTTAATGGGGATCCTTTTCCAATAAGATTTCAAGAGCAACCTTGCTCAGGATCCTAAACAATTTTTCCAGTGCCAAATCTTAGCGGATCAGCATTGCCTCTTAAAGGAAAAGACAAATCTTGTATTAAGGAAAGTTGATACTTTGACTCTGGGCAGAACATCAGATCAGTTTTGTCATGTGCAAGCCTCTCATATGGATAATGATACCTTCTTACTCTCTTGGCTGTTGTATCAGTGTGAGTTTTGCAAGAGAAATACTGTTTCTTCAAGAGCATCAAAAGAAATAAACCAAACATGCAAGAGTCAAGTCATGTTTTCTCACAGTGTGGTCTGACCTGATGGAGTCACATCATAAGGCAAGAAGAAACAGCAAGAAGACAATGTCTTTAGAAATGGCTACAAATTTGGCTCTGTCCAGTCTCTGCAGTAGGAATTTCTCAAGAACTTAATTACCATTCTTACAAAAAGACCCAAGGTAGATTGGGTATGCATGACCATTCTATCTGGCCCATAAAACAAAGTAGAAATAAGCTTACTTCCTACTGGTTCATTCTGAATTGTCTGTGCTGTCTCAGCAGTCTTACATCTCCAGTGATTTATTTTATAAGATCCCAGTAAGCTTGAAAGCTGAAGAAACTGAATAAATGTTAGGTTTATCCTCTTGTTATCCTCTTGTCATCTGTTTTGATGTTTTTTGCCACTCTTTGCTGTGAATCTAAGTTCTTAAGCATAGAGTTCAGCTTTGTTCCTGAAACAAGTGTCATCTAAGTGGCAAATAAGTTGGTTCTGCATTCAAAACAGAAAATGCATCTGCTGTATACTTCATGAAGATTTTTCTTTCATGATTTCTTTATTATCATTTTTTCTGCTCAAACTTAACTTCTATTGGTCCATAGAAAAGGCTGTGATTCCCACTGCTTTCTGATTTCATACAGTTCTTGTGGGCAGTAACTTGAAATGCTGACAGAGAAATAGCCAGTTTGCGAGTTCACTCATCAGTTACCAGCATTCAAATCTGGAAGAGAGGTAGACAAGCAACTTTTATGTGGGTGTAAACTTTAGAACACGGTAGGCAAGCAGATAAGAATTACATGGCAGACTAATTTTCAACTTGATAAATGGAACTGACAGTGCCATATTTACCTTCTTGCAGTGTCTGCTTTATGGAACCAATCCAGAAATGCATGGAAAGATGAGGAATCAATATAAAAATTGAAAATGCAATCAATTTTTGTTAGTTAGATCAGTGACGCTTGGTTTTAAAAAGCAGATTGTGTCTGTTCCACATTCATTTTGAGAACTCATAAATTTATTGCATTTCGAGGAATGAATGGCAAGACAAGATACACATTTTGAAAAGAGCACAGGTCTCTAAACAATCATTATAAGTTATGGTTCTAAATATCCTTCATTCCTTGCTGGGATGGTGATTTCAAAAATAGGGTGAAACTAAAGGACTAATTAGGAGAAAGAAACATTTATAATTATGTTGATGATAAATATTAATATTTATTTGCATATATATACAAAACCCATCAGGGGATGTCTGTTTAAAGATGTGATTCCCTGCTTCAGTTTACCTTTATTCATCCTCTCAAATAACTTTACACACCAAAAGAACCTTATTTAGTGATCAATGCTTATATTAGCCTGAGTTTTGAAACTTTGGGAATAAATACTTGAAACGAGACAAATTGGGTAACTTAGAACTTAGAACTGGTACAGTGATATTTCAGAAGTGTATAATGCCAGTCACATGGGGGAAATCCTCAAGGACAAAGCATGGATATTAGCATATGAAGGGTAGGGGTAAGATTACTCATAAAACTGGAGAATGTTGGGATGAAAGAACAGTTTAAGGACCACATGTCTTGGTGGGATTCACCTAATTAAAAAACAACAACTATAAGTGTAAACAGCCTGCCTGGTGCAAGAAAACAGTTTCTTTCTACAGTCTTAATAGCAGACACTAACTTTTCTGTTGAAGACCTCCATATTCCTCTGCACAGTATATGGCATGAGGAATAATTTTCCCAGTGTTTCACTATTAAGATTTTCTACATAACTTGAACTCTCTTTTACTTTCACCTCTTTCCAGACCCAACAGTAATAACAAAGATGCCTGGCCATCATTACAGAGTTCAAGTAAATCAGTCAACGGCTTAACTATGGAACACAGGAAAACGCCTCCTATTTTAGAAAATGGCACAGACTCAGAACACATGACTCCAGATGGTCCAGATTCAGATTTCGGGTAATTGTGCTGCCTTTTATACTTTAGTTAGCTTTCTTTCTCTCTCACTGATGTGGAGGGATGATTCTCTAGCCTCTGTCAAGAGAGCTGGATTCAAGTTAAAATGGTTGGCCTGAACCACTAGGTGATGCCTAGGTGGGGGGGGACTGCACATTATTTTGCAATGGGCAGTTTGTTCAGGAGAAGTCTGTGTCTAGGCCAGAAGATAATTTTTAAAGGTAAGGGTTGTGGAAAAGGCAAGGCATTTTGAAACAAGTTTCCTTCTGCGTCTGTGTTCTAGCAAACCACGTACCTCACTTCAGCAAACAATTTTTAATGTTCTTTAAGAGAAAAAATTGCTTAGTAGGAACTCTGATCTTTTAGGTAAGAGTCATTTAGTTAATTGTCTTGAATACTCTGATCTCAGTTGGCAGATCTAAGCACATTACACACTTCACCCAGGCATTTTGTTAAGCAAGTATGGCACTGGATTGAGATCCATCAGCTTTCCCCTCCGTTTAGACTACTGAGACTACTTGAATTTGTGTTTAATACTGCAGTATGTCCCTTGCATCATTGTGGGGCTTTTAACAAGTTGGATTCAAAATGCAAGTTGCACAGCACAGCATATTATGCTTTTGAATTGGGAATACTGATGCGTACTGTTGCAGTGTGGAAACTGCTTTCTTAGGCTCTAGTTTCCCACCTGTAATAGGTTGAGGTGGGGGAAAGTGGCCATATAAGTTGCCTGACTCCATTGTTTCTTGTTCTAGTGTTAATGAGGAACCAGAACACAGGAGGTTACTTCCATGTTGCACCAGTAATGTATGAGCTGGGTCTAAGAAGCTTATTAGGAAATAGGGTAACTCACTGAATACCTTGTATTCTTGCTCTAACATTGACCTAATATTTCAGACTTCATCACTAGAAATCATTGCAGACACCAGCACTTTTGGAAATAGAATGTCAATAGAAGAGCTTTCCTATTTAGAAAAACATCCCATTACCTAATTTTGAAGCTGTCCCGCTGAGAAGAAAGTGATCTGCTTTAGATATTCCATTGTGGATTACCATAGCACTATTGAAATGTTGTAGTAATGCTTTATATGAAGCTAAGCATCTCTTAGGCTCTTTTTTAGTTATGAGCCTGAAAAAATGATCTGAAAATGTTCTACACATCTGTAGTACTGGTTCAGCTGACCAGGATCCAAAAGTCCACACAATGAATAGGACTTTCTCATCTTTCCCCACTACTGTCTCATCTTCCTCCACCACCATCCCACAACCACTCCTGAAGGTTAGAAAACATTTCAGAGCAAGATTTAACATGGTACAAAAGGACTACAGTTGAAATTAAAAATTGGCAACCTTTCCTCCGTGAGTGGAAGAGCTTTTTACTCTTACCTTAAGAATTGTTTGGTTCCAGCCTTCGCCTGTGGCTAGTCTTATGCCTAAAATGGGCTGATTTGGTACTTTTGAAACCATATTCAGCGCTTCCTCTAAGTGGATCATAGGTCTAATCCAGATATCAAGGTTTTCAGAGGCATGCTATCACAGACTTAACAGGAACTCAAGCCTATTTATTTGTAAAGGGGTTTTGAACATCTGGTAACTTCTATGAAACAGCTGTGTTTCTGGCCGCAGGACTGAAAGACTGCAATATTTCTAATAACGAGAAAAGAATTAAAAATAATTAAGTTTTGTGTTTCAATAATTAATTTAAAAGTTTCAGTTCTTTATGAGTGTTAAATAGTTTTACACAAAGAAAAAAACAATCCGTTTCACCTAGTTTTACTCCATGCTTCGCTTAATATATAGTGTTGAGTGGGCTGAAACAATGTAATATACACATTTATATGTTTCCCTCTTTGCCTGTGGACTTAAGATAATTCAACAGATATTGAAAGAGTCGTCTTCTGCCAAAACCTCTAAAATGTAGGTTATAGCTGGAGTATAGTGGTCGTTTGATTTTTGAGTTTGTATGACTTAACAAACATAAATTCTTTTTAGAATACTTTCTTGTGTTGACTTCCTGCTTCTGTAATTGATTCAGATGAGACTGTATATAGTCTTGGTTATCCAGTCCTATATCATCCACAGACATGTGAAAACAGACACATGTCTATGTGCTTAGAATTAGACTTTATTGTAGGAAGAGTTTGGGAATGACCAGTATAGCTTTGAATAGATCACTAAATTCAGGGTCACACCTCACAAGTATCAATCTTAAAAGCAGGAAGTGATTCTGCTCATTTACACTCAGTAGCTGAGATAAAATCATTAAATGATTTACTTATCTGCTTGACGCTCCCTCTTTTTTCTTTGTTACCTTTTAAACTGTTAGGATTAGTTTGTCATTCAGTTGCATAAGGAATTATGGTGTCTGCAGCCAGAGCACTTTGCACAAAAGACTGGAGGCTGCAAAGTGTACCATATGCAGGAGATTGGATAGAGCAAGTGTGGGAATATGCACTTGTGGCAAAACTAACATGTTTGAGAAAAAAGGAAAGGAAATTGGTCTTGTTTTGTCAAATATTGTAATTTATTCAAATGTCTTTGCTTAACACTCTTACGTTTTAGGGTGTTTGAAATTATTATGTTTAGTGCAGAAAAAGAAAATATATTTATTGTTTTATATATGACTATTTTAATAGATGCTCACTTGGTTGAGCTATCCAATTTGACCCCAAGATCTCCTTCCTGATCAGTCACAACCAGTTTGGACCCCATAAGCGTATATGTAAAGTTAGGGTTTTTTGCTCTACTATGCATCACTTTACACTTGCTCACATCAAACTACATTTCCCATTTTAATGCCCATTCACCTAGTTTCAATATACCTTTTTGTTTTTTTGTTTTTTTTAAATATACCTTTTTGGATCTCCTTGCAATTTCTTTTTTTTTTAAGACTCTGAACAACTTAGTGTCATCAGCAAACCAGGTTACTTCTGTACTTGCCCCTAACTCTAGGTCATTTATGAACAAGTTAAAAAGCACTGGTTATAGTACTGATTTTTGCATTCCCTATAGAGGAAGAACTGTCTTATTTATTCCTGCTTTCTGTTACTTAACCAGTTGCTCATCCATAAGAGGACCTGTCTTCTTTTCCTATGACTGCTAAACTTACTCTAGGTTCTTTTGGTGAGAGAATTTATCAAAAGCTTTTTGAGAGTCTCAAGTGTGCAATGTCAACTTGGATACCTCTACTTACATGCTTGTTGACACCCTCAAAGAACTTTAATGGGTTGGTGAGACAGGAATACCCTTGTGGAAGCCATGCTGCTTTTGCTTCAGTCTGACTTGCTCTTCTGCATGTTTGGTAATTCAATTTTTAATAATTCTGCCCACCAGTTTTACTAGACTAGATGTTAAGTTAAGCTGCCTATAATGTTCCAAGTCCTAGCTGGATTCTTTTTAAACAATAGATGCTAGCTACATTGAGCAGTTTCCAGTCCTCTAGTATGGAGGCTGATTTTAGGGACAAATTACATATTTATATTAGATCAGCAATTTCACATTTGAACCACTGAGGAAGCTCACTTGTGTAACCCAGATGCTTTGGTCATTGGCTGTGAGGCGCTTTCAGTCTTAAAGTCACATAGCAGGCAGATATTTTCTGAATATTTGCATTTGTCCATCAGTTGATGTCCAGTGGCTTACTGCAACACCTGCTGGATTTGTCAACAAGATAGTGACAGTATATTATTTTCCAGTTGAACTGCCATATCAGCCAATTCATTTTCTAGCATCTTGGTTTCTTCTAGTGTCTCAAATGTTAGCCTTACTTAATACTGCAGGTTGTGCTAGCATACATTTGCAGCCTGAACCCAGCCAGTGCACCTTCCATCATGCATGCCTGGCCTGATCCCCTTCGCTCACTTAGCTTTTGACAGCACCTGATCTGGTATCTCTCCTTGTCCTGCTGTCACCATTCCTTCAACTCATCTTTTCATGGTTTTTGTAATTGCTGATCTTATTCCAAGTTTTGTCTTGTCCTTTCCTGGCTCTTCCTGTTGCTCTGCTGTTCTGATTTTGGGTGAGTGGATGCATGAGCGGCTGGAGCTTCAGTTTTGTCTCCTGTTGTGTTTAAGTGAGAGGTTGTGACAGCATTCCTATTGTCTTGAAACTGAAGCAGCGCAAAGAAGAAGTGAGCTTTTCTGCTGTGGTGAATAGTTTTATTGGTTCATTCACTTTCTATTTTACCTTTATTCCTTTTGCCTCTTCTCTTTCTTTCATGTCTCTCCTCTCTTTACAACTCAGTGTACTGAAATCTAAATTAGGGAGTCCTCTGGGCTCCATCAATCTCAAGTTGAGCACAAAGCTCTTATAAATAGATATGGTTCCTGTTTCATGGACACCAGTTTAATGTCGGGGGCTGATAGTAGGGGCAATAGACAAACTTTGATTGCTGTGAGGTTACACTGAGTAACAATGAACAAGCAGAATGTGCAAGATGGAGCTAATCAGCCTGTTGTCAGTTATCTCCATGAACTAGGTTTTCTAAAATTACTTTTTTACTTAATTCCTACAGTTTCAGGCCATCAGGCTGTGTCCTTTACATTTGCCTAATAGTTTTTCTTTCTCTCTAGCACTATCGACAAACCTTCAGATTCTCTCAGTATAGGAAACTGTGATAACTCGCAGCAGGTAAGATTTGAGAACCAGCACTTCTTAACTCTTGTCAACTGCATACCCTTATATTTGCAAAAGGACTATATTGTGTGTTGAAATATTTATTTGCCATAATCTTAAATATACCTTCCTGCCTATCAGCTGCATAAGATGGTTGCTTGATTAAAACTTTATACTAGCTGTAAAAACACATGCTATTTGGAAATGACCAAATGGTTGTTAAAAGGAGAAACTGTTTTTACTATACGATTGTAAAACTGTGTTCTTTTTCTTTTTAGATATCAAATAGTGACACACCTTCACCACCACCCGGCTTATCAAAATCCAATTCAGTCATCCCCATCAGTTCATCCAATCACAGTGCACGGTCTCCCTTTGAAGGGGCTATAACAGAGTCACAGTCTCTCTTCTCGGACAACTTCCGGCACCCCAACCCTATTCCAAGTGGACTCCCTCCATTTCCCAGCTCCCCACAGACTTCAAATGACTGGCCGATGGCACCAGAGCCACAGAGCCTCTTCACATCAGGTATAGTATTAGTTAGACAATCCATGCACACAATAGCTTGAAATAATATCTTCAGGCTCTTGTATTTACTTACAGTTTAGCATGAACTTGATTGTGCTGCTCAGTACTGCTCCAGTTTAAAGAACTTGTGAATATGTCACATTATTTTGTAAAGTGCTTTACCTTTTTCATAGATGGTGGAAATGTAGATTCAAAATAAAGATTCAGAATAAATACAGAAAACCTTACATAAATCATACTTTGTGCTTGTATGCATATGGTCATTGATGCTAATGAGCAATGAGACCAATAAGAACATTTTGCTTAAAATTACAAGCAGTGAGACATTTTCATTAGTAACTGAACAGTGCTTCTCAATCAAGTTTCTTCATGTAGAACACCTCTAGAATTATCTAGCCTCTAGCAAAGAATATATGCAGTGGAAAGTGTGGTTTCTTACATTTAAAAGATGAAGAAGTTCTACTGTAATGTGTTGCATAAGGTGCATGGGAAATTCATAGGGTTGGGTCTTGAAAACCATGAGGTGCTTCTGCCAGATTTTTCAGCAACTTCCCTAGTAGGCCCACACAGCCTCCACCTCAATTTTCTGAAGGGGCTTGTTACCTTTGGGAGCAGCTTTTCAGGTGAGACAGAAATGTGAAAATCCCAAGTAGAGGATCAGTTTAGAACTACAGGGAAGAAAAATGCAAAGATAAAGAAAGTTGCTTTCTTGGTAACTGTACACCACTAGAACATAAAGGATATTGTGAGCTTTAATCTAAAAACCAGTTGCCCCTAGAATAGGATTCCCCAATCTGTTACTCTCCAGATATTTTGGACTACAACTCTCAGGACCAATGGGAATTATAATCCAAAACATCTGGAGGGTACCAGGCTGGGGGAAACTGCCTTAGAAATGAGAATAGCCAATTATTGGAAAGGGAAATTGGTCAGTATTTTGACTCATATTAAGCTGGGGAAAATGCAACTTTGTCTTTAATAACCTGTTTTAAATCCCACAGAAACCATCCCAGTATCCTCGTCTACAGACTGGCAAGCGGCGTTTGGATTTGGTTCTTCCAAACAGCAAGAAGATGACTTGGGGTTTGATCCCTTTGATATCACCCGCAAAGCCTTAGCAGACCTGATCGAGAAGGAACTGTCGGTCCAAGACCAACCCTCCCTCTCGCCCACGTCTCTCCAGAACCCTTCCCCACACACTACAACCGCCAAAGGGTCAGGCTCTGGATTTCTGCATCCTGCTGCGCCCGCAAATGCCAACTCTCTCAATAGCACATTTTCAGTCTTGCCACAGAGGTTCCCGCAATTTCAACAGCATCGAGCAGTTTACAACTCCTTCAGTTTTCCAGGCCAAGCCGCTCGCTATCCTTGGATGGCCTTCCCACGCAATAACATCATGCACTTGAACCACACAGCAAATCCCCCTTCAAATAGTAATTTCTTGGACTTAAACCTCCCACCACAACACAGCACAGGTCTAGGAGGGATCCCTATAGCAGGTAAGTGCGCTGAGAAAGCATCAGTGAGCCTTGTTCATGCCTTCAGCTTCTCTAAATCAGAGTAGCGAGAAGGGGTTGATGGTATTTGGTACTGGAATTGATCATGTAACTATCATGATGGAAATGTGTTTTGATGCATTTTGGAAATGAAATGTTTAGCTTGGAATTTAGCCTTATAATGAGCTTTATAAGGAAAGTGGAGTATCGTATGTCCAATCATCCTTATTTCAAAAGTGATTTTATGATTCACATTGACAGTCTTGATCATGCTGTGGAGTTGATCTTTATTTTAAATATATAGTTTACTTAATTGCATAAGTAGATTACATTTTAACTTTTTTAAAAAAATTAATTCTTCAGTCCCGGTTCATGATGCTTGGCATATATGGCAGGAAAAAGCTATTTTTAATTTATTTTTTGAAGTATTTGTATACTGCTTTCATACAATATATATTCCAGGGTACTTGCACTTTCCAAAGTCAGCAGAATGGATAACTAAGTTACAGTGATTAAAATTCAGTTTCCTTTTCACTCAAATCTCTTTTTAAAATAATTTAAAATGCCTGAGAGAATAAAAATGCCCCAACCGGATGTCTGAAAAACAACAGGGAAGGGAATTTATCAACCAGTGTGCTGCTAGTGCAATAGCCATATCTTTTCTCTCCATTGCCATTTGAACTCTATCATCTTCAATTGTATCTGAAATCTTACATTGATGAGCCAGTAAATTTAAAATTGTGCAAAAAATATTCTTTATGATCCCGTATATGAAGCCATCTGACACGTATACCATTCACTTTAATCCCTTGCCCTTCATTTTTGTAACATTTCACTCCAGCTGGCATTATTGTTTCCCGCTGGAAGAGAGTGTACTTCGTAGCTGACACACACAAGACTTTGTGGCATAGCAAGCATCACTTCATGATAATACCTTTTGGAATTTTAGAGCAAACTTCAAGTAACCTGTTCCTTCCATCATAACTTGCAGTGGTCTTCTCCTTGGGATGTTTTGGGTTTACATCTTTAAACAGTGTGGATAGTATTGTTCAGTAATAGCACATTTTTATTTCTGTAAACTAGTTTTCCTGTGCTTTATTTTTCTTGGCTACTGTTACAATTATTGTTTTTTTCTATTCTTATTATGATTCACTTAAAACATTTATATACCATCCATTTCTTACTGATAGTGACTGCTTATGTTAGTATTTTGGGAATCCAGAGGATTTGCAGCTTATCATAAAATCTGTAACATGGTCACAACACCTGTCTCTTCATTCTGGTTACAAAAGCATTTCTTTGGCACTTTAGTCTTAGCTTTGGCTCTGGCTTAGATATATAGTTTGAAAATGGAAAAAGCTAGTAATTATGTCAGGATATAAAATCATGCAGAGAAGCATTTCAGATTCTCCATGTGACCCAGAAAAGATGTCCGCTAAGGGCCCTCCCATTCATATTCCATTAGATAAAAGGGGCCATCACTGAACTTAACAATCAGCTGTGTTAGTGTGGAAGTGATGTGTGAATGTGTGAAGTCCCTGAACTCTGGCCTAGCCTGAAAAATCCGTTTCTAGAGCGGTGGTTCTCAAAGGGTGTGGCACATCACACTGGTGTGGCCAGAGAAGATGGCAAGGGTTGCAGGAAGATTCAAGGGCAGTCAAAGAAACACTTAACCATTTCAGTGTAGTATCATGGAGTATAGTATCATTTATTTATTTATTTGCAGAATATGGATAGATACCTTTTCAAAATCAAGCACTGCCAGGAGTTGTTTCTTTTTGTTCTCCAATTTATTTCTTATCAATAAAAAAAATCAGTGTGGCGTGAGCAAATTTTTATTTTGAAAGTTGTGGTCCTGAGAAAAAAGTTTGAGAACAATGAGTCAAAACCACCTTCTAAATACGTGGCATATTCTGAAGTAGAGTGTTGTAGTGTAGTTGAATGAAATATGTTTCCTCCCCCTTTGATTTAGTAAACATTATGCTACTTGTAAAATTTGTTTCTTTCACTCCCATGTTTTTCCTTGCAACAACTCTGTGGGCTGAGAAAGACTGGTCCAGTGAGCTTCATAGATGAGTAAGGATTTGAACCTACTGCAATGCTTTGACTACACCACACAAACTCTTTAGGAACTCTGAACACAACCTACAGAAAACAGTGTTTGCTAATTTACTTACTTAGATTCTTAGCCTGTGCTATTCAGAGGCTTGATTCAAAAATAGATCTTTGAAGCTCTTTATTGTAGTAGTGGTCATAGTTGCTTTAGGGATGCTAGAAGACTAAAACAATGCAACTAATATTATGAAGTATAAAGCTTCTGCAGTAAGTTGTACCAGGGACAGGCAAGTTGGTTGTATGGCATCAAAAGCTTGTGCTGAAAAGCATTCATCTCTTTCTGCGTGCATGTGAAAAGTTTATCAAAAAATGAAAAGCCTGGGATTTCCAATTAAGTGTTGTAAGTGTAGTAATTGCTAAGTCAACTTGGAGGTTGTGACTAGTTACCATTCCTTGCTAGGTTATGGATATTTTGATGTTGAAATCATTGTCTCTAATGAGCGTTCTAGCAGCTTTCAATATCTTAACTTTCTGCATATTGTATTAACCTTCCCCTTGACTCTCTCGAAGAAATGTCTTGGCTTTATGATGTATGTGCCTATTAGTTTTCCATTTATGCACCCCATTTTAGGAGAAGATGTCCTTAAATAATTATGTCATCTCTGACAGAGCTGCTACCTTTCTGAGGCATAATATGCATGAAATATTTTTTGCTTTGCCCTTCTCCTGAATTTCGCACCTTTCTTATTAGATGAAAAATCTTAATTGGCTTTTAGATTGGTCTTTGAGGTACTTACTTTTTAAACTAAACTGTATATTTTATTTACAAATGGTGGACATCAGGCTTCACTGCCTTAGCCATCAATGTGAGAAAGCTATCTTCAGATAGTTTAACAAATATTTTAGTAATTATTGACTTCTTTTTAAATCATAGGAACAGTATTTCCCAGTGGAAATACTGTTTTCAGCAGTGTTAAACTTGGTTACAAGGCCAAATACACTGAATATGTTATCTAAATTAAGTCATAATATAATTAGGAGTTGCAAGGGTTTTTTATATTAGTGTGGGGAATTTACCTGCTAATTCAGGGTCAATATGCAGAAAGAAGGAATTTTTTTGAATTTGCTGTTGAATTTTATGTTGGCGAGTTGCATAGTATGTGCTAGTGAACTCTCAGTGTTGTTACATTACATATTAATGTTATTTATTAAAAATATTTATATACCACTCACATGCAAAATTTCAGTGCCGTGTACAGCAGGGTCTACAAAAGAGATAAAATACAATTAACAGCAATACAGAATAATTGTAAAAATGACTGCCTCATCTTAAAAGTGTAAACCATTGAATAGGACTGGCAACACATAAAAATCTTCAAGAGGTGTCTGAAGCTTAGAAGTGAGGATGCCTGCCACATCTGCTGGAAGAGAATTCTCCAGTGGGGGACCAACAGCACTAGATGCCTAACATCTCATCAAAAGCAGTTGGGCTGTTGAAACATGGGGGACAACTAACGTCACTCCTCCAGATCTCAATGATCAAACTGGCATATAAGAACTCAGGCAGCCCTTAAGGTACTCAGAATGCAAGTTGTTCAGGGCCTTCTATATTAATATAAGAGGCTTGAGCCTTTCCCTGTAACATGGGCAGCCAGTGCAGATATTTTAGCAGTAGTATTACATGTTGCCCACCATCTCTTCCCATCTTAGGTGCTGCATTCTGCCCTAGCTGGAGCTTCTGGGTCAATCCCAAGGGTGGCCCCACATAGAGTGCATTTCAGAAATCTAGTCTTGAGTGCATGGTCTATGATGGCCAGGTTATCCCCATCCAGATATGGCTGTAGCTGACCAGGAGAAGCTGGTAAAAAGCCCTCCAAGCAAAAAAGGAAACTTAGACTTTGGTTGACAAAGATGTATTCAGCTGTACCTCCAATCTATGTGCCTGCTCCATCAAAGGGAATGCAAACCCTGCCCTCCAGGGACAAAGCAGTGCCTGGTGGAATCCTATTGCATAAGTGCTAGGAGGCCAAAGTCACTCTCCCCCCACTCCCCAGTTCATTTCTGGATTTGACCATGCAGGTAGGAACGAAGCCATTGTAATACAATGCCTTTTGATACTCATCCTGCTCAATGGTGTCAAAAGCCATGGAGAGATCTAGTAAGAGTAATAAGGGTCACACTTCCCTGTCCTTCTCTTGATAAAGACCATAAATCAGGACAATTCAGTTTTAGAAGCAGGGGAAGTGAAGTGAATCCAGATAATCAATATCATTCAGGAATACTTGGGAGTTGCTCTGCCACAGCCTTTGGCACCACCTTCCCAGAAAATTAGCCCATTATGTTTCTAGGCTCTTCTAGTGTTGTATCATCATTGACTTTTGTGAAATGTGTGGACTGCTTCAGAAGATAATGAAATGGCATCAGTCTTGCAACTCACCCCTATGGAGCTCCTCATGTAGAATATGATGCGACTTATTGTTCCTGAGTGCAGCTTTTCTTCCAAAGGAATGACTAAAGGAAGTATTGGGTGTTTTGTTTTATCAGTTTGTATTATGTATATATATGTACATAGTGTTTTATAGTTCCACCTGTTTTTTTAAATATTCACATGTATAACACATTTGTACCCCACTCTTCAGCCTTAAAAGCTCCCAGAGTAACAAGCAAGTCATTTGCTGCCCACAGGCTTACAATCCAAATGATACAACACAAAAGGACAAGGAGGGAATGTGTTGATCACTTTTTAGATGTCAAAGCAACTGGCCCATGTATTTGGTCTCAATGTGTAACTCTTATGTTATTGTGAGCTTGCTTTACTACACTTCAGGGACCTTCAGTGGAATAGCTTGCCTATTAACAGATTAGAAATGAACTTGGTTTCCAGCAATGTCCACTAGAGACATTTTGTTTTTCTGGTTCATATTTTTCAAGCTTCTGTTCTGAGTTCT